AACTAGCAGAAGGCAGTTAAGTAGATAGAACATCATTACAATTTACTATCAAAATCTACCCAGAAGAGTAATGAGAAAAAGAAGGAACAGAAGGATGTGGATAAATCCCTTAATTGGATAAATAGTTCAAATTATAACTCTTCTTACAAATACTAGAGTTTAATGACTTTAATAAGCCCAAACATGGTTTTAACTGGAAACCATACTATATACCAAGACATTATGAACTATGCTAAATTACTAATGACTTTTAAAGCATGGTCCAAATAATGTACAACTTGAGAAAATTATGTTTTAATGGCTACAAACTTCAATGATATTTAATGAATCCTATTTTAGGTGATGGTATCTTAGGATCATACGTAGGCAACTACCAGGTAGAAACATTAACTAAATCAACTCATTTCTGAAGGAAATCCTAAACTATGTTAGTAGAGGGAATGAAAAAGAAACCAACAACCTTCAAGAAGTACTACATGTAAGTAACTACAGAAAAATTGCTAATGGCTGACAGCTCATCTAAGGCATGAAATCTTTCTTAATTCCCCATTATACTACTTTTTCTTCCACTGAATTCCCACATCTATCTTTGTGATCATGGGGTTTCAAGAATTTATTTTGTTCTGTGTTAATTGCAGTAATGTTTAATTTTCTAACTTTCCATGAATAGACTGAGGATTCCTGTAAGTCAGAATTCTTGAGTTTTACATATTTTTATGTCCTCCCACCTCTGTGTCTAACATGATCCCTGGAATTTTGTAGGCATGTATGTTTATCTGAATTTACCAAAACCCTTATTTTAGTATAGTAAAGGTCCTGAGAAAAGTAAGTTATATTTTGGTAACTATGAATGCTTCATGGTTCAGTTTTATGGAACCTCTATTAATTTACCAACTTTGTTCTCATTATAAATAATATTTCCAGATTTTTTATTATTAAAATAATAAAAATCATTGTGGTAGTACAATAATTATAATTGCTTACTCACATGTCTCTATATTTTACAAGGTAACTGATGTAAAAGTACCAAAAATAAAGATTTTTAAGTAAAAACTCTTTTTACAGTGAGAGAAGATATAACTTTGTAACAATATAAAACAGAAAATAAAACTTAAAAAAATAAAAATATAATAAAAATATTAAAAAATTAAAAAAAACTTAATAAAAATATTTACTCATAAGTGATCCCTTATTAACTCAGTTACCCACCCATAAATTACAAGTGGGGCATTACATAACATCACATATGTCAAACAGTATGAAAGTTCTGAGGCTAGGAAAGTATAATTCCCTGTAACTCACAGTGGAGTATCAAGCACAATGTAAGTAGTAAGAGGACTCTGGGGATGTCCCTGTCTGAAGCAGCAGAATAAAGGGCTCATAAATGAGGTAACATTTAAACAGAATTCAGGGTCTAAGGCTGGGCGCTGGTGGCTCACGCCTGTAATCCTAGCTACTCAGGAAGCTGAGATCTGAGGATCATGGTTCAAAGCCAGCCCAGGCAGGAAAGTCCGTGAGACTCTTATCTCCAATAAACCACTTGAAAACCAGAAGTGACACTCTGGCTCAAGTGGCAGAGCGCTTGCCTTGAGCTGAAGAGTTGAGGGACAGCGCCCAGGCCCCAGAGTTCAAGCCCCACGACCAACCAAAACAAAACAAAACAAAAACAGAATTCAGGGTCTAAGATTTATTTTTTAGGCTTATGGGTATTTGTGGTATAGAAGTAACAGTCTGCTGTTCATTTTTAGAATAATATTTCAGAAGAAACTGCTGTTCTAATAATAGTCTAGTAAAGAGATGAAGATGAAGTTGGGGCAGGAGAAAGCAGATTTGGAAGATAATTGATAGGTACACAGATTTTATGAGAGGGTGAGAAGAATGAATCCAAATGACAAGCCTTTGATTTGGCAGATGGATGATGACATTAAATGCAATCTAAGTCATAAGTTAACAAGTTTTTATTATATATCTTCTATGTATAATATACTCACATCTAACAGATGAGGTCTATTTTCATTCTAGTGAGAGAAAACAGAGTACACATGTGAATAATCTAAGATAGTAAAACAGGTAATGGAGAAAATAAAATGAAGTTATGTAATGCTGACTATGGGGGAGGGACACTTTATCAAAGACTGTCATAAGAAGTGACACTTAAGTGAGAATAGAGGAAATAAGTGAAGCTCTGGTTTAAAGGGGTGGGGCACCAAACAGAAAGGCTGACAGCAAAAACAATGTAATCTCAAAAAAGAATAGGAAGGCAGTGTTTTGTGGGGGTATATAATGAAAATATAGAGAGAAATGAAACTAGAGAAGACTGAGATCCCTATTTATTTTTCTTACAGTGATTAAGTAGTTAGAAGATTTTAAGAAAGGAATGATGTCATCTGATTTCTACTTCTGTCACTCTAAGGAGGAAGACTGGAGGTAGAGTCCCGGTTAAAGTGATAGATTAGATTGTTCTAACAGTGACAATGTGGAGAAGTGGTTGAAATCTAGACGAGGTTAAGATTACAAGACTTGCTGATGGACCAGATATGGCATTGAAGGGAACAGAAGAGCCAAAATGATCCATGGGATTCAGTTCTAAACCACTACAAAGAGGGGAGAGATATTAAAAAGAGAAAACTAGATAGAGAAATTATTCAGGATGACAGGGACAGAAAAGAATAGTTCTTCTATGGTTAAGTAAACTTCTAAGTAAAATATAAGTAGATAGATATACATATAGAAATTGGGAGAAAGGTCTGCGTGGAAAATTCTTTACATTCTACAAAAACTTTAAAGCCATGAGACTAAATAAGACTCATCTTGACTATATCAATAAATATGAGGTAGAGAGTATGAAGCAACTTTTAGATTTTTAAAAGAGAAACAATAATTTCCATTTTAAACACTTAAGGTCAAGATAAATGTTTATCTAAATGTTTATCTAAAATATTTTATTATTATACTCTTGCACTATTATTTAATTCTGCAGTCTCCTTTACAAGGTCTCTATTTTTTATGCTATTTCAATTAGCTTCCTTACAGCAAACACTATTCCTCCCCTACTGCCAAGAAGCTATTCAGAAAGCACTTCTGAAGCATTTTTTATAGCATAAATACAAACATCTGGCTGTAATGATTAAAAATTTATTAATTAATAAAAAATCTAGAAAATAGTACAGTAATGAGCCACTTTAAAATCTCTTAAGGACTATGACTTAAAAAGCTCTTCTCCCTAAGAAATAATCTTGGAATTCTATCGATGGGTCGACATTGAAAAATAAACAGTATTGGTTATTTTTGTATGCTATTGTCTGAATGTTAGGGGAAATATGAGGGAATTCCTCAAATTCATACGTTAAAACCAAATTCTGAACATGGTAGTATTGAGATGTATGGCTTTAGGGACATAATTAGGCCACAAAGGTGGAGCAATTGTGAGTGTGACTGGTTTCTCTATAAGGGGCTAAGACACTAAATGAAGTTCTAAGTGAGAACTCAATGAGAATAGCATCAAATGTGAACCAAAGCAGATTTTTACAAAACAGCAAATCTGTTTGCACATCAATCTTTCCAGCACTCAGAACTTTAAGAAATAAATTTCTGTTGTTTCTAAGCTATCCATTGTATGATATTTTATTATAGCAGCTTGAATATAGTAAGATACTAAGTGTTGAACTTCGGTAATAATGGCTGATTTCTGAACTATCCTGCTGGTCTAATCTCAAATAATCAAATATTTCCTACCAAAGATGCTACTCAGGGTCAGCACTCACTAAGTGAATTAATGAGAGATCAAGATGCTTCACTGTAAAAGACAAATTTTTCTTTGTCCTTGAATCTTTTTCCATTCCTACTTACTCATGTTCTTACACAGCACCTTTAGTTCAATTAGAGCTTAATAAACAACCACTGTAATGCATGAATAAACAAGTGAACACTTTCATGAAAAATATGATTCTTTTGTTCCTTTTCATGAATCTTTTCTTACATCTTTAAAGTTTTTCCCAATTACAAAATATCTGCTCAGTGAAAACAATATTAATATAAAAATAAAAATCTCTTAATTGTTACTTTCTACCTATAGCTCCTAGTTGTAATAATTTTTTCATTTAACAAACATTTTTGACTGCCCAAGTTTGCTAAATATATGGGGATACTACAATAAACAGTCTGAGTCACTGATATCTCTTTCTTTGTCTCCTTCTCTCTGTTCCTGGTATCTCTCCCTCTCCTCTTTCTCTTTCCCCTTCTCTCTGGTTGCAGGCAGCAATACCCTCCCCCCTGAGACAATGAAATGGTCCACAAGGAAAGAGGAGAAGTTACTATTATTTATCCTCAGAGAAGTATGCATTAAGTGGCTTGTTTAGTTTACACCAGAGAACTCTTACTGCATTTCACTCACTTCCAAAGGTTGGCTACAAAGGATGTCACTCTGTCAAAAGATTCAAAATCCATGGATATCTCTCCCACCCTAATATTTAACATTTCTCTTGAAGATGATTATTTCAGTGGATAAGTAATGTTAATATATTTCTATATAGTATGCAAAAGCATCTTGATATTTTCAAGTACCCTCAAGGAGCAAATAGCTTTCGCATGTAAAAAAAAAATACCTTCATCTTTCTACAGAACAATGTCAAGTGCTACACAGGAAAAATAATTCTGAATACCTTTTTCAAGCCTTTATCTATAGGTTCATATATTATCTCTTTAGTCAACTGTGCTAAAAAAAATAGTCCAGATGCTTTAACTTTTGCTCTCTATCCACACCTCCCCCCCTTCCGCACTTTTTTAACAGAAAGTTTCTACTTCCAGCAACAGGAAAAACTTAGCAACTGGACAGTCATTCCTTGTTCTAGTATCCTCTGACTTTCTATAGATCACCTGTTTCTTGGTAACGGCACCAGTCTGCATGGAAAGAGTGGAAGCTACTGTTTATTCTCAGAAGGCTATGTAGTAAGTGACTTGTTTAGTTTTACTCCAGAGAAGTCTTACCGCATTTCACTCACCTCCGAAGGTTGGTTGCCTTCTACCTCAGAAGTTTTACTTCGTAGCTCATTTGTTGTATCTCCTGAGAAGAAAAAACAGAAACAAAACAACTTTACCATACTATTTTGTTTTCTACTTATTTGAATTTTTTGTCATTATACATTCGATATCAACAGAAGCAAGCACTACTGTTTGCTGCATAATGAATAATTTATAAGAATGAAGCCAGGCACCAGTGGCTCATGCCTGTAATTCTAGCTACTCAGGAGGCTGAGATCTGAGCATCATGGTTCAAAGCCAGCCCGGGCAGGAAAGTCCGTAAGACCCTTATCTCCAATAAACCATTAGAAAACCGGAAGTAGTGTGTGGCTCAAGTGGTAGAGTGCTGGCCTTGAGCTGAAGAGTGCAGGGACAGTGCCCAGGCCCAGAGTTCAAGCCCCATGACTGACCAAAAAAAAAAAAAGAATGACAATTTTGTATAGGTCTCATAAATCATCCATAAACACATATACTTACAACATAAATCAGAATATATTCTGCTTTATATAGGTTTACAATGGAAAAAATCAAACAAATTCATATTTTACATATCATGTCATATTTTAGATATGGCTTGAATAGAAGGTAATTTACTTTAAAATAAAAGCTCTTTATGATATGTATAATTAATTGTCCTCTAAATTAATATTTTCACATGAGTTACTTTTTATAAATGTTGTCTCTGGATTTCATTGGTGTAGAAATGAATCTCTATGTATCAATGAACCAAAATACCTGTCAATAGTTATTGGCAGAAAAAGACAATGAACAAATACATCGATTAGCTTTCAATTAATCCTTTGGTACCTAAAGCTGGTGCCTGGGTGGGTGGTATTAATAAATTAATTTGAATTAGGATGATTTGAAAGACAACAGGACAGGTATAAACATCGTTGAACAAGTTTAATATAGGCTTAACTGATTTACTAATGACCTATTTCAATTTAATTATCACTAACAGTTGGTAATTAACATGTGATAGGTAGACAATCAATTAGGCTACTACTTTAGACTTTAATAAAAGGCTAATTTAGCAATTTATAAATTGTTCTTCCCACAAAAATGAAGCAGGATTAGGAATGTCTACTAGAGAGAAAATTACCAAATTTGTGGATGAAAGTTTGGTTGACACTACAGGTCAGAAGTAGGTTTCTATATAGGGCACAGTATTAGGAGTAATGATTATGGATAAAGCATGGAAAACTTCATTGAGTGTAATGGTTTTGTATGAAACATTAATGTTTAGTTTGTCAGTGGCTATGATGAGGAAGAGCCCTGTGAAAATTTCAAAGTCATAAATAAAAATCTGTTAAATCCTAAAACCATGAAAAAACTAAAGATAATTTGATTCTCTAAATATTTGAAATAATATAGTCATTAGCTTTGTTCACAGTTGTATGTAACATTATTATTGTTGTACAAGGCCCAGAACAGGTGTTTAATAAATTAGCAAATTTCTCTTTATAGTTTCTCACAAAAGACTTCAATGTATTTTATAAAAAAACTGTATTTGAGCATAGAGTAAGGCTTTAAGGCAGATTTATGGAATACCACTTTGAAATACTATTACTAGTGATTCATAATTATGGCATGACTTATATTTTAAACTTATTAATAGGAAAGTACTAGGAACTTTTGGGTTATGCATATAGGTAACAAAGTTAATTATTGTTACATAAAAAAAATCAACCTACTCTTGTAACTCAGGATGTCAAATAACTTGACTCTTTAAGTCACTGTTTATACTGATCAGTTACAACCAGTTGAAAAGGAGCCTTATTTTTGAAATCCCCATTGTCTCTGTCAGTTAAGGATATGATATCCATCTCTAATTTGCAGAAGGAGAAACCTTTGCAGATGGAGAAACTAAAGTACAAATAGTTTGCTAAGTAAGGATACAAACAACCAAAGAAATATAGTCTGCATAATAACTCAAAGTATGTTTAATGACACTGGGAAAAAAAGAGGATGCTTTGAGGCCAGAGATGTTGAACATTTCTTCAAGTGTCTATTAGATTCTAGGAGAACTCAAATAATGTAATTCTTTAAAAAGAACTAAGTCAAAGCCTAACAAGTACCAGGAAATGGGTACTTCCAAGAGAGGAGGGTGGAGCCAAGGGGCAAGGAGTAGAACAATGAAGAGGAGAAGGGGAGAGAATGGAGGCAAGAATTCATTGTGTATACCACAGAATTGAGAAAAGGAAGGGGTGGGTTTGCAGGTGGGGGGGTGAAGATATTGGAAGTGATAACCCAGATCATGCATTTACATAACTTCTGTGTTATTTAAACATGGGGAGACTCAATACATAACCTGAAAATTAAGAAAAGTAAGGGAAGGGATGGGTTGGGACAGGTGAGTGAAAATTTGAAAATCTGATCAAGATTCAGTGTATTCACATACTGCTTTGGTGAATGGCAACTCCTTTCTAGAACTACTTAAAGATATTTTTTAACAACCCCCCCCACATAGTTGTACATAACAAAATATGTATAACTCACAATTAAAGTCACAGCCTAAGAAAGATGATCTCTTAAAATAATTACTATTTGACTGTTACACAGGCACACAAATGCTGTACATGACTAAATTATCTAGCACAAAAATCTATGCTTCCTTTGCCATTTTCTTATTTCAAGGTGAGTATCTACACAAATTTTTCTCCATTTTTTTCCCTACTGTTTGAACAACCAGGAAGGTTATCAACCAGTATTCTTGACATCATACAACACATCTGCCTGGAAGCAATGCAGAATCACTATTTACTGAAATGCCATGTCTGGCGATGACTCAGATAAGACAGTAACTGATTACAAGGAAAATTGCCATCTGCAAGATTATTTCTCTATAAACAAAGGCACAAAATGAAAGCAGAACAAATGATTGAAGGACAGAATAAGTCACAATAAAATACAGTGCTTAAATGTTTTCCAACTGAACAATTATTTTATCACAGGAAAATTCACTTATATTCTATGTTTTCTATAACCCACATAAAAGTTAGACAATTTGGGATATAAGGAATGTAAAACAAGGTACTTTAGTTTCTAAATAGCCTTAACTTTTGCTTACATGTTGGATGGACTAAAAAAATTCATTTGCATTGCAGTGATTTAAAAAAAATTAACTGATATTTTCACAATACTTTACCTTGCATAGGTCTTAAAAAATATCACAGCTGGTTACTGTTGGGCAGTAAGGTCTCCCCCACTCCCCTAGTTAACAGGTAAATGAACCATCAGGGGTCAGAGGCACTTGGTGACCTGCCAAGGTCTTTTAGATAGAAGACAGTCACATTGAGGCAGAATCTATCTCCAGGGTCTGATGAAGAGAGCTACGATCAGTGGAAGTTAATGGTCAGAGTGTGAAGAAAAGAGCCAACAGCTCTGAAAGGAAATTTTGAAGGCAGGATTTGGTGCTGGTTCCACTCCAGAACTGCCCCCCCATTCCTTTTTGCCACCCTACTCCTCACAGCTTAACTTTTCTTCCCTTTCTGAGGTGATGTCAAATACTTCTGCCCAGAGCAAGCCTCTATCCTTCCTTCTAGTCTTTTCAAATAAACATAGCTTCCTTAATATTTTTTCAAAAGTTTGTAAGAACAGAAATGAAGTAAAAAAATTCCTTTTATATTACAAGTATGCAATTTTGTTTAAAATGTAGGTTTTATTTAAAGGATTAAATAAATGACAAAGGCCACATAAATATACTAATAAAATTCTGTTAGAATTTAAAAGACAAAAGTAAAATTCTCCAATAGTTTAGATTAAGAGTTAGCCATTTCTATTAAAGGCCAGACAGTAAATATTTTAGGTTTTGCAGGCCATATGGTCTGTGTCACAACTTCACAACACGGTCATTATAGCCAAAAGCAGCCACAGACAATATGTAAGCTAGTAAGTATGGCTATGATCCAATACAATCTTATTTATAAAAACAGGTGGTAGGCTATAGTTTACCAGGCCCTGTTTTAGAGGAATATATACACTGCACCAGGGTTAAAAAACTGGGTAATAGTTGAGCTGCATAAGGACATGAAAAAGGGACAGTCATTGAATGACTATCATCTTAATCTCATTCTACTTGGTGCAGAAGAAGGCAGGAGAGGAGCAAGGGAAAACAGAAAAGATTCCCAGGCATAGGAGTCAATCTGAATGTCTCGTAGGTCACAAAGGGGAGGCTTGTCTGGAGGTCTCTGTGAGGGAATCCTTGGTTTATGCTCTGTCTGTGGATTGGTGAGTTAGGGAGTACTTAGGTGCATATGGTTCTGCCCCTTCTCTTTCTCTCAAGAATGGAAGACCACACAGAATTTGTTACTCTAATCCTCTTCAGCAGCCTCCTATTTAGGGATGCCTGCTCCAGTCCTTCACAGCTGAGAGAAACTCACTCTAATTCTGGGAGTCAGATTAAGAAATACATTCTTCTCCCAGATCTAAGTTACTTTCTTCCATGAAAGCTTGTTTAGGCAATATTAGACTTTGATCTCCATTAGTCCCCTTTTACTCTTTTAAATCGACCAGTTCTCATCTGCGAAGGGGGATGATGTTAGTTAGTAGCATGCCCTTGGGCAGAGAAGCATCAGGAAAGGGTTCATGTGGATGAAGCTTGAGCCATGCTTGCATGCAAAATGTCATGATGGCTGTTTCTTCTTCTTTTGTCTAATAGAGAGGATTTATCTAGAACTCCATATCTGAGAATTCAATCTACAAAACATTGCTTCCAAGGATTTCACATGGGAAAAAGATACTTCTATAGTCAAAAGTATGAGAAAAACCTGCAACACATGAGTTCTTTCTGTTGATTTTAAATTCATTTTTGCATCTGAGAAATTCTACAGGAAGGAAATCTAAAAGTTTTTTCTACAATGTATTTGGCTCTCAAGTATTTGATTCACCTGGCACCTATTAAATATCTTTCAGGGTCTCATGAATACTCTATGGTAAGACCTAATTCAATATTTCTGAAGTTAAGGTTGATTATAAAATATTTTAACTAACTCTTCAGAAGACTCTCAATATGGCCAAATTTATTCACTTTTGAACATTTAC